TTTGCATTTCTCGACGTTTTGAAGGTTTCTGAACATTTTTAAGGGGCATACCTCGAAACTAAATGGATGTGTGTGTGTGTTTTGTATTTTTTCGTCCACATTTTCGGGCGCACAGATCAACCGATTTGAATAGTTAAAAAAACATTCGATCCCTATTGATAGGGAGATGTGCTGATTAGTTTTTGGCAAAGGCAGGTCCAGCCGTTACGGAGATACAGAGCTAAATGTGCAAAAAATTGCAGTTTTTGAGTGAACTAAGCGTCCGATTTGAATGATCTTAAAAACTTTCTGCTTGTATTGACAAAACAATTGCTTTTGAGGATAAAAAATTATCACATCTTTTTATATTTTTCATAAAATATTTTTGTAATTTATTAACTAGCTGTAAGTGAAATTCTGTCTTAAGGCAATTAAGGCATCGTGCCTTAAGGCAAATTGCTGGAACTTTCCGTACCGCAATTTAAAATTCGAGTAATTAAAAATGATCAATAATAATCAATAAAAGTTGATCAATGATTTGAAACTTTTAATAGAATTCTGAACCATATTAAATCATTCTATCTTAAAACATTTATGTTGAAATATTTTGGAAATTCTGAACTTTTTTAAAAAGCAGTCGTACTGATTTAACTACATAGTGGTGAAACATCGAAGCGCGTAAGCGCCGCGTCGCCGTCTAACGGATAAACTTTGGTACGGAACCCATAGGAATGTAAAAAAAAATATACTTATTGTTAAAATCTCTATAAAATATCTGATAATTTGATGTGCATATGTCTAATAATCATTTTTGACCGCCAAATGGCATTCTTTTTCACTTTTTTCACTAGATCTCCGAAACCGCTAGACCTGCCTTCATTAAAATTTGATCAGTTCTTCATCTTGTGCAAATAAAATGTTTTTTGAATTATTCAAATCGGACGCTCCGTTCTCTTAAAAACTGAGTTACCGTTTTCGGCACTTTTTGCCCCATATCTTCGGCACGGCTAGACTTACCTTCGCCAAAAACTAATCAGCACGTCTCTTTATCAATACCAATCGAATGTTTTTTGAATTATTCAAATCGGTTGATCAGTGTTCCCGAAAGCGTCGACAGAAATTTGTATCCGCACACACACACACGCGCGTACACACATACACACACACACATACATACACACACGCATACATCCATTTTTTCTAAGGTATGCCAAAATATTCAGAAACCTTTGAAACGTAAAGATATATAAAAATTTTCATTTTCGATTTTTTTGCGACTACTATAACTTTCCCTGCGGGAAGTTGAAAATTCAAAAAATTACCCAGGCTAAGCACAGTCTAAGCGCCACTCTGGTACAAATGTTTACCCAAGTGCGTTTAGACTGTTTATGCAATGAAGCACTTTTCCAATTTGGTGAAAAACTATTGAAAAATGCGAAAATGCCGCCAAGCTAAGCACGGTATAAGTGACAATGTCGCACAGAATTATTTGCCGATGCGTTTAGACTGTGACTATACGGGAGCACTTTTTTAATTTTGTGTAAATTAGGCAACTATTTTTTTTTTGAAATTGAATTCGAAATGAAATGACGATTGTTAATGTTCTGGTGATAAATTGATTTATTTATGATTTACATTTGATTTGCTCACAGATATAATAAGATAGCAAAAATAATGAAAGTTACAGTATTTGTAATAATATATTCGAAAACGTTTAAAATTTCTCGAATATTTCATTACGGTGCGGGAAGTTTCAGCAATTTGCCTTAAGGCACGATGCCATATACCACTAGTTTCATTATTCGTGTGGCGTTTATGTCTGGCTGTCCGTCTGTTTGTCCGTCTGTCTGCGATTTGACCTCTTTCTGCCGTTCTGAAGTTCTAAATTTGATGACCATGCCGAGGAGAGAAGAGACACTTAAGAATCCATCCACAAAGGAAATATCCACTTACCGATGTAATAATACTTTGCTTTGCAGTGATGTGATATTCGTGTTACATACTTGCTCTGGTACTCGAATGAATTGTACATTTGTATTTGTGTATTTGTATTCGTTTCTGGTTTCTTCTGTTCCTTCTAAATAAGGCACCGTGTCAATGCGATTAAAACATTATTGTACGTTGTACTACTACTATGCATGACATGAATTGTATATGAACAACGATATTCAGCCAATCGTCGAAATAAAAGAAAACAAATAAATACAAATATTTGTTCATAATATACGTTTCGACATGGATTGCGTGTCATCATTAAGCTATTCTTTGTTAACAGTAGCTAAAAAATATTAACAAAGTTAAAAAAAAAAAATAATATTATATTTAAAATAATTAAAAGATATACATACCACACCAGGAAAGGCCATTTTTTAAATAAATATATACAGAAAAACCAATCATACATTACAAATAAAACTAGTGGGGTGGGTGGCATCGTGCTTTAAGGCAAATTGCTAGAACTTCCCGTACCGTAACGAAATGTCCGAGGATTACTGAATGTTTTCAAATAGATTATTATAAATATTGTAACATTGTCTAATATTTATAAGAATTATATAAACTGAATTGCAAAGTTGAAATTATTTGTAAAGTATATTAGAACTATAGTCAGAATTAAAAATAAAATCTGAATTATTTTCGATATACAAAAAATTAAAAAAAAAAGTTGAAACAAATTTTTTTTTCCAAAATTAATTATTTTATTAAGACAAGCAGAAAGTTCTTGGAATCATTTAAATCAGACGCTTAGTTCTCTCAAAAACTGCTATTTTTTACATATTTATCTCCGTATCTACGAAATAGCTGGGCCTGCCTTTGCCAAAAACTAATAAACACTTCTCTCAATCATTACTAATTGAATGTTTTTTAGATCATTCAAATCGAATACTCCATTCTCTCAAAAAGTCGATTTCTATTTTCTGCACTCTTTGCTCCGTATCTCCGAAACGGCAGGACCTGCCTTTGCCAAAAACTAATCAGCTCTTTTCCCTATCGATAGGATTCCAATGTTTTTTGAACCATTCAAATCGGTTGATCCGTGCGGCCGAAAACGTGACTGGAAATTTGTATCCATACATACACACACACACACACACACACATCCATTTTTTCTGAAGTATGCCAAAATGTTTCGAAACCTTCAAAACGTCGAGAAATGTAAAAATTTTCAATTCCGATTTTCGGCCCATTACAATAACTTAACCTACGCGAAGTTAATAAATATAAAAAATAAACAATATTAACTGAACATGTTTTGTTTTTAATTTTAAAACTGAAAATTTGTGTGATGTAGTTATGAGCAAATAGAAACCAACGAAAAGTCACGTGACACACAAAAAGTTGGAGAAGGATTTCAAGGGTAGTTAAACAGTGGGGACACAATTTTGAAAAATAAAACATATCGAATTGAAACATCTGTTTGCTCGTCAGTAGAGTCCTTTTACCTACTACAAAGTGTTATATTAGAAAATTTCTTATGATAATCGATATCATTTATTATTTGACAGTATAGTCCTTTTGTTCATCACAAAGTATAATTAGTTTTAATTTGCCGGATTTTAAATTCATATGTGCTATTTATCAAAATTATTCTTTTTTTCTCACGTCGAAATATTGTCTTGTATTTTGCTCGTCAGTAGAAATATATTTTAATCTTGTGCTATTTAATTTAATTTGCTGGTCAGTAGAGATGTACCCTGTCGTTATTTTAAATAACTTCTATTTTATGTAAGTACGTCACTGGTGAAAATCGTTGATCTAATTTCGATATGGGGTCAATAGTAGTTTTAGCTGGAGCAACAGTTAATGCATCGACTGCAATGTATATATAATATATAACTTTATCTAAAATTAACTCTTTTATATAAACTGTAGTAGACTCGTATATAGTAGTAATTAAAAGAAAAAATTGCGTAAATTAACTTCCGTTGTTTGGATAACATTTTAGGATTTAGGTTTTATGGATACACGTGGAAAATTAAAGAATAGATTAAAGGATTCGAAGTTAAAACAGTAACTTAATTCAAATAATATATATATATATATATATATATATATATATATTACAATTGTATTTTCTGTCGTTCCTCCGTTTATTGGCAAATGGCAAAAGTGACCTTTCCACGAAATTATATGTCCGTTTATTCGGCCAGCAAAATGGCCTTTGTCCGAGGTCTTGGAAATTATATAATTATTTTTTACGACGGGACATGCCGAATGTTTGTTCCAGTCGGTCACAAAATACTTTTCATTATTCGAAATAATGAACGAACGACGTTGTTTTGTTAACGATTTCCGTTCATCTGTATAAAAAAGATTACAAGTCTCATGTCTAAAGGAAAATCAGTTCTATGGAAGCGACTTGTGCGCCTCTTGTAACTAAGAGAACTAATTAATATGTGTGAAGATAACGATCATTTTCCTCAAAACATTTTAATATAACAAATAATGTCAGATTTTTTTTAAAAATGTATTAGTCATTTAAAAAAAAAGTTTATTTTTTATTATTTTTTTTGTACAAACTTAGAACTACTGTGCTTTACCCTGTTGTAGTGTTTTCCGCATTCAACAGATTGTGTACTGCGCTCAAATTTTCGGTATTTTGAAGAACTTTTTTTCTTTCATATTTTTTATTAATTAATATTAAAACATATGTGATTTAGTTGAAAAAATATTTCATACGTGCCAATTTTATTCTTATTTCATTTATTCAAATTAATCAGGTTTATCTTTTCTATATATATATATATATATATATATATATATATATATATATTCTAAAAGAGCGAAGATAACAATCATTTTTCTCAATGACAATATAGAAATGTATTCTTTACATTTTTTACTTATAAATATTAAATACTTTATAATATTGAATTTATATTAACCTTTCAGTTTCAACACGGTTGTATGCCGATTTTTATATAAATTTTTGACAAACTTTTTTTTTTAAATTTATTTATATTTTTCGTTGTATTCAATTACAGTTTGCCCACTACATTTTTGAAATTCTAAAATGCATAATGGCCGTTGAAAATGTAAATTAATCATCTATTCAAAATCAGTACAAAATTGCATAATTTTTCTTTCATTAAATAATTAACGTATCAATTAAGTTTGACCTCTTAGAGGTTACTGTAATTAGATAATGTTTATTTATTCAATTAAGAGATTATAAAGAAATTCATTTCGAGTTAATCTAATCATTATTATTATTTATGGATTTTGTTAATTTTGTTAATATGACTTTGACTGGATTTGTAAATTAGTTTCTTGCAATCTTTATAAAGGGTGAAGGGTTAGAGTTTTTTTTTTCGAAAAAGATGAGTTTTGATTTGGTCGTCAGTAGAGTCCTCTTTCTTGTCCTACGTCAAATTGCACTTTGCTTGTCAGTAGAGTCCCTTTTCTATTTCGAACAATACTAGTTGTAGATTGGTCGTCAGTAGAGCCCAACCTTCCTGTTGAAGAAAATCCCGTTTAAATCACTTAAATGTTTAAAATAAATTCGTTTTTTATTGAACTCTTCGTTTTACGCTACATTTCGATTTGCTCCTCAGTAGAGTCTCTTTTTTCTTTCGGAAAAGTCATGTTTTAGTTTGATCGTTGGTACAGTCCCTTTTTTATTCCAAACAAGTCTAGTTGTAGTTTGCTCGTCAGTAAAGTCCCTTTTCTCTTTCGAACAAGTCTAATTTCATTTTACGTCAAATTTCACTTTGATTGTCAGTAGAGCCCTTTTCTTTCGAACAAGTCGTGATTTAGTTTGTTTGTCTGTAGAGTTCTTTTGTTTTTCCATAATTCGAGATTCAATTTGCTTTTATTTAGAGCATTTTGAGATTTAGTTTGCTCGTCTGTAGAGTTTTTTCTTACTTTCGAAAAAGTCTAGTTTTTTGTTTGATCGTCAGTAGAGTTCTTTTCTTATTTGGAATAAGTCTAGTTGTAGTTCGCTCTTCAGTAGAGTTTCTTCTTTCATCTACAATTTGAATTTCAATATCCTCGTCAGTAGAGTCCTTTTTATTTCGAACAAGTCTTGTTATAGTTTGCTCCTCAGTAGAGTCCCTTTTTTATTTAGAATAAGTCAAGATGCAATTTGTTCGCCAGTAGAGTGTTTTCTTATTCTTGAACAAGACGAGATTTAGTTCGAGACAGTAGAGTCCCTTCTTTCTTCCATTATTCGTGTTTCAATTTGCTCGTCAGTGAAGTTCCTTCTATCTTCTACAATTCGAGTTTCAATTTGCTCTTTAGTAAAGTTTCTTCTTTCTTTCGAATAAGTTTATAATTTCCTCATCAGTAGAGTCCTTTCTATCCTTCACAAATCGAGTTTCAATTTGCTCGTCAGTAGAGTCCGTTTTTACCTTCAGAAGCCGAAATTTATGAGCCAAATCTGCCGTAACATAGACGATTTTTTTAATTACAATATTTGTTACAACTACTAAATAATTTAACAAAATTCTGAATAATAAAAATAATACTAGAAAAACAATAAAGTGGAATAAAAACAATAAGTGACGGATAATAATAAATATAACAAAATATTTATATATAACACAATATTAGAAATAATAATATGTGACCATATCTATCCATTTGCTGTGCGATCAGGCGTATTTAACATATAAACAAAGCAAGGAAGAATGCTAAGATTACAACATAGTCGTAATGCCGCATCTAAAATATACGTTTTTATGTGTAAAACGCCTGATCGCACAGCAATTAGATAGACATTTTTACAGTTTTCACTACCAAGAAACAAGCATAAAATAGTGTTGCCATAAAAATGCTGTCTTATCGTCTATGTTACGGCAGAATTGGCCCATTAGGCCCATTAGTCCTTTTTAATTTCGAAAAAGTCTAGTTTTAGTTTGCTCGTCAGTAGAGTCCTCTTTTCGTCGTACGTCAAATATGTTTTTGCTCGTCAGTAGTGAGGCATCTGGTAGGAAGTGAATGTACACACACACACATATATATATATATATATATATATATATATCTGAATTTATTCAGCTACTAGTTTAGTTTAGAGGCCACAAAACGCCATTAAACATTCGTTTATAATATAAATCTTAATTGAAAGATTAAGTTGCTTTAAGAAGAAGCAAATGCTTATATCCTTGACGTTCAAATTGACGTAAACAATATAATTTTATGGTTTAAACATATATATATATATATATATATATATATATATATATATACATACATAATTATTATGTTTACATGAAACGAATTAGGTCGTTGTAACATATGCAAAAACTTATTCTGAACTTAATTAGTTTAACAAGTATTTATTTTAGAAGGAGTAAGATAGAAAATTATTGAGAAGCTTAAAAAATTTTGATTTTTTTCATTTTTAGCCAAAAATTAATAGGTGACCACGACGTTATCAATATAGAAAAATCGATTAGAAAAGTCGGATCATTAATAAAATCGAAATCAAATTATGAATTGAAAATAGAATTTTTTTATTTATTACAAATTTAACTTTGGAAATTTGTTACTAATGTATGTAAAGTATGTAATGAACATTTTGATTATTAATATTTAATAATTATTAAAATGACACAGTATTTTACAAAAAATCTTTTTTTTACAGATGCAGTCGATTTTACATCACAATTCCAGCGGAGTTAAAGCCTTTAGTGGAAATTTAAAGACAAGGGAAGTCCACAAGGCGATATCTTTGCACCCTGTAAAGAAACCGCCCCTGATGTACAGGCTGCACGCTTACATACTCGTGAGTAGAAAATAACAGAATATATATATATATATATATATATATATATATATATATTTTGTAGAGTTTCGAACAAGAATCCAAAAATAATACAAAATAAAAAACAAGAAAAGTTTTTTAATAAACAATTTCTTTATTTAATTATTTGTTTTACTGTCGACGTTTCGGAACTAGGTACGTTCCATCTTCAGGACATCTGTCAAGAAACATGATCTTGATGAGATTTTTGCAAACAATATATATATATATATTATATATATATATATATATAAAATGGAGCTCTCGATCAAATGATCCGCTAAAACACGAATACTGCTAAACCGATTTGGCCAATCTTAGTCTTGAAAAATTCGTGCTAATCAGTAGGTTGTCGGAAAAGTGAGATATATTATTTCAAAATCGCGTAGAAACTTTACATTTTTAATTTGAAATTTTTTGTAGAAGCGTAATTTGAATAAAACAATCGACGGTGGCTAATACGTCAAATTTAAATTCAGAACCTATATTTGGTATCGATCAAAGGGACATTTTGTCGTATCACATTTTTCCAGTTATAATTTCCTAGAATTTATCGAAGAATAGATAGTAATATATGAAGGTCCGGGGTTAAAAAGGTTCACCACCGATGTGTCAAAAACCAGTAAAGCTAAGCATTGTTTAACAATATTATTTGAAAGTAGAGGGAAAAAAATGTATAACCAGCTATAACCTTGATTCTTATGACCCTGCTATCGAGCGATAATCGGTAATCTTTGAAAATCCATAATAAAAGTATTTTCTTCCGTTGGTAGTTTTTTAGCATTAGTTAAAAATGTAATTATTTTGTAAAATACCTTTAAAATTAAAATAAGACATTAAACCTGTTTGCCACCTGGCCGTTCCAAGTTACCCCGCCTATAGGGTAAAAAGGCCTAGGATAACAAATTTTTGAAAGACATCAAAAAAGCACATTTCTTCAATGATGAAGTAGCTGGCAGTTTTACTGAACGTAGTGAAATAATTGTTTGTTTGAAATGTGTTATTTGTTGAGATATAATTGTTAACATTTGACATTTGACGTATTAGCTACCGTCTATTGTTTTATTTAAATTACACTTCTGCAAAAATGTTCAAATTAAAAATGTAAAGTTTCTACGCGATTTTGAAATAATATCTCATCTTTCCGACAACCTACTGATTGGCACGAATTTTTCAAGACTAAGACTGGCCAAATCGGTTTAGCCGTTTTCGAGTTTTAGCGGATCATTTTATCGAGAGCTCCATTTTTATATATAAGAAGGATATATACTATATGTTTTTGTTTTTGTAGAGTCTGGACATTCAGCACGAGCAACAGAAAAGAATCGATCTGCACATGGACCTTGCAAAAATGTCTTTGGCTGTCCAGAGTTACCCAGATAAGCAGCAGACACATCCTGAATGGAACGTATTAGGTAGAAATTATAATATTAAAAATAATAATAATAATAATGAATAGAATTATCCGAAAGCTTGTTGAAGTATAACTTCTTTGGGCCCGACTTCTGATTTGGCATTGGCCGATAACGTGATTTGACTATAGTTGAAGCGAATGAGGGATATGTTTATTGCGAATACAACAATGTGTATTCATATATATTTAACCAACTACATCATTTATAAGAATATCAACAAAAAAATAAATAAAATATATTTGGTGGATTTTAATAAAAGCGTGACTTGACTGGCATGCTAGTGTCTATATATTATATATATATATATATATATATATATATATATATATATATTGATTGTTTCTTTTCCGAACAGTAAATCCAATAAATTTTTTTTTTTTTTTTTTTTTTTTATTATTATTGGATTTACTGTTCGGAAAAGAAACAATCAATATATTGAAAAAATCCAGGACTTATCTATTGAATATATATATATATATATATATATATATATATATATATATACTAGCAAACCCAACGAATTACGTTTCGCCACCAGATGGTTTCGTGAAAAGATGAAGAAATTTTTTGTTTTATATTTGAGAAGAAAAAATTTGATTTTATTATACAACAGTAATGAATTTATTTCGATTACAAAAATGAAGTGTTTTATAGTTGAACTTCTCTAGGTAAATGAAAGTGAATCCGCAAATTATCCGTTTCATTGAAATGCTCTTTGGTAAACCACATTTTTTGTCTTTTGGTCTGACGTTAAACAAACAAAGCGGGTGGTTTTCCAAATCGTGAACAGGCAACGTCTAACTGCCCATTTGAAAAACAATGATTTTCTAAATAATCTATTTGAAATTTATCCCGCAAACACTAAGCGATTGGCTTTGCGACTTGTTATTGCGAACGCAAGGCGAACTGGAAATTGCAATCGTTTGAAGTCAAAGGGAAGACCAGTCGGAATCATTGGTATGTCACCAAATCGCCAGCAATTTTTGATTGAATGGTGAAATTCGGTGCGGGTACATCATTATTCTTTGCGACAAGAATTGCTCGTTGACTTATCCAAGCATAATTCTGATAATTCTCACTAATGTCCATACTTGAATTTTTAATTACAGTGCGTGAAGTTCCAGCAATTTGCATTAAGGCACGATGCCACTTTCAACTAATTATTTTTTCATCTTAGGTGCCGAATCGAGCCTGAACCGATACTACCCGAGGCGAGTCGAAGACGTCATCAGCTGGGAATTCATGTCAAAATCCTTGTTTTCTCATACACATTCGAATCCTAAACGCAGAATGGAGGCCAATATTCGAGAAGGACTCAACGACGTTGTCAGAGAGGTAAGAAATCCAATAAATACGAATTTAATCTTTATATATAAAAATGAATCGCAAAACGTGTTGGTAAACATAACTCAACAACGCCTGAACCAATTTGACCAATTGTTTTTTTAAAATATTCGTTCAAGTCCAAGGATGGTTCTTACGGCGAGAAAAATTCGAATAATTGCCGGGAAAACCCTAAAAACAGCCCTTTTATTTTTCTCATACAAACGTTTTCGAACTAAAACGTAGAATCAATTTGAAAATTATTGCTATTATATGAAGTTCATATTAAATTACAAGCACTCACTGTGTACTCCTCCTAAACGATTATTCGGATTTTGATAAATCTTTCTGAAGTTTGTTAAGGAAATTTTCTAGGATGTAAGTGATTATAAAGCACTGGGATGTATGTGCAATATTGTAGAAATAAATGGAAAAAATTGCAAAAAACGACATGTCATTGTTTGCATTGAAAATGAACCTAGACAATATTAGAATATGTATAATAAATTTATGATTATGAATAAGAAAAATGAAATGTCTACATTATCATTGCCAAAGAGCTGAGATGTGCCAGAAATTAAAATAATATAAAATACAGTATATGTATGTCAGCTTGAATGATACACTTTTGAACAGGATATGACAAATTAATTCACTTGAAATATGAAATTAAGTATGAATCAGGGCCGTTTCTACCTTTAATGCGATGCATGCGAAAAATACGAGCGCACGCCTTAGGGGGCGCCAACACAAGATTCGGATATTAAATTTTCAATATAGTTTTTTTTTCAATATATAATTTCTTTGTATCCTATACTAAAACTTTCCACAATATTTTTAAAATTCGTAGAAATTTCACTTTATAACAACAAATGGGAAAGTAAAGATGAATACATACAATTCGGCCCTCACGATATCGATTAGGAGGAGTTTTAGATGCAATTTTGGATATCTTGAATAATAAAAAATTAAATTAAAATAATCCAACATGAAGTACAAGTGTTATGTTATGGTTATGGTTATGTTATACCGGTTAAAAGACTTCAATTGACAATATAGTATGAGAATTGAGTCGTCATCATTTTATTTAAAGCAGTTCTACATTTAACGTAGCTCATGTTATAAATATATTTGCATTTTGGCGTGAAGAGTAATTTAAAAAACAATTATTATTATTTTTAGGTAAATAGTAAATATTAGCATATTATATTAAAAATTTGTAGACATGGGTACAGTACAACGTCTGTCGGGTCATCTAGTTAATTAATCGATTTAAAATAACAAGTTCTACTTTTCCTTTCTTTAGGTGATGGAGAACATAAACACTTATTCGAGACAGCGTGGAAGGATAATTGAATTTCGTGAACTTTTATACGGTTACCAGAGACTGGATCTTCTGGATGGACATGACATGATTTTAGATTTATTGCTTGTCTATAAAAAGTATCGAGGAAAAAAGATGACGGTGCCTGTGAGGAGACACGCCTATATACAGAGGACTTTTGCAGGTAATCATAAAAGACTCGATGATCATGATGAAAATTCATTTTTTTATTAATTAGAAGATTTAGATTCAGAGTTATTTATATAACATTTTTGAAGCCTTATTCATATTTTAAAACATTGATAGTATTATTCCAAAATATATTTATCGAGCTGTAGTTTGTTTCCGACAGAACATCTGATTGAATTCAAGTGAAATCATTTAACACCGAAAACTTAAGATGTTTTAGGACAACTTAGATGTTTACGCTAGATTTTCTTTACTAGATTTGAGGGAACGCTAGATTTTTAGGACCTTGAAATTTCTTTAGAAAACCTGGATTTTTGTTAGGGTACAAATTATTATTATGAGACCTCGAATTTTTGTTAACAATTCGGATTTTATAAAACCTTTAAAACTTTTTGAGGACCTTAGATTTACTTAGATATAGCCTTGGGTTTTTATTAGAGCACCTCAAATTTTAATTAGAAAATCTCGACTCCTTGTAAAGCAATCTTGGATTTTTATAAGAAAACCTTGAAATTTATTATCAAACCTCAAATTTTGGTAAGAAAAATTGGGTTTTAAGAAGAGCCCTGGATTTTTATTAAAAACCGGGATTGTTAACAAATCTTTGATTTTCAATAAGCGCCCTGGATTTTTGTTAAAGAACCCCATCTTTTTGTAGGAAATCTCGAATTTTTATTAATAAATCTTGTATTTTTATAAGATCACTGGATCTTTTTAGTGACCCCATATTTTTATAGGAAACTTCATATTTTCATTAGAAATCTTGGATTTTTATAAGAGGACCTTGAAATTTCTGTAGAAAATCTTTAAAACTTTTGAGGACCTTGGATTTATTCATATGGTCCTAGATTTTTATTACAGGAAACCAAATCTTTATCAGAAAACCTCAAATTTTTGTTGAGTAATATAGAACTTTTGCAAGAGAATCTTGAAATTTCTGTAGAACTTTTTGAGGGCATTAGATTTATTCAGAGAGCCCTGGATTTTTGTTAAAGAATTTTTTTATTACGAAACCTCATATTTATAATTAGAAATCTTTGACATTGAAATTTCTTCAGAAAACCTTTGCAACTAATACTTTTTCTCTTCTAAAACTTTTTGAGGACCTTGCATTTATTCCCATAGTCTTGAGTTTTATAAGAATCTTGACATCTTGAAGTTTTATAAGAAAACCTTGAAATTTTGTTAGAAAACTCTTTGAAACTTTTTGAGGACCTTGTATTCAGGACCCACATTTTTATTAGGAAACCTCGAATTTTTGTTAAGAAATTTTGTATTTTTATAAGAGCCCTGGATTTTTTTAGAGGACCCCATATTTTTATCGAACACCTCGAATTTTTGTTAGAAAATCTTAGATTTTAATAAGAAAATCTTGAAATTTTCTTAGAAAATTTTTAAAACTTTTTGAGGACCTTGGATTTTTTCTGAAAGCCCTGGATTTTTGTTAAATAATCCCAAATTTTTATTCAGAAATCCCAGATTTTTGTTAAGAAATCTTGGATTTTCATAAGTGGACTTTGAAATTTCTCCTAGAAAACCTTAAAATTTTTCGCGGTTATCTTTGATTTATTCAGAGAACCCTGGATTTTTGTTAGAAGATCCCATTTTTTTTGGCAAAACTGTCGTTTTGTTTTATTAAATATTGGGTTTTTATAACAGCCCTGGATTTTTAAAGAAACCATATTTTTATTATAAAACCTCGAGGTTTTGTTTAAAAATCTTGGATTTTTGTAAGAGCTCTGGATTTTTGTTAGAGTAATCCATATTTTTATTATGAAATGTCGAATATTTTGTTAAAAAATCTTGGATTTTTGGAAGAGCTCTGAATTTTTGTTAGAGGACCTCGAATTTTTGTTAAGAAATTTTGAATTTTTTTAGGAGTAACTATAAATTTTTACAGAAAATCTTTAATTTTTTTTAGGTCCTTGTGTTTATTCAGAGAGTCCTGGATTTTTTATTAAAAAAGCTTTAAATTTTATTAAGACACATTGAATTTATATAAGAGGATTTTTATAAATTACTTTAGAGAACTTTTAAAACTTTTCGAGGTTTTTGGATTTAACAAGAATTTTTGTTAGAAAATCTTGTTTTCTTTTATAAGAGACTTGGATTTTTGTTAGGGGTATCCCATATCTTTATTAGAAAACCTCCAATTTTGGTTACGAAATCTTGGATTTCCGTTTTAAGAATCTTAAATCTAAATTGATAAAGTAATATATTGATTTTTTTTATTGGGTCGATTATGGGAATAACATGTTTGGGAAAATCTATGGAACTCATCTTAAGGCAAAATGTCAATTACACTTAGTTCCAAATTTGGTGTCAAAGGATCCACAAAGATTTGTAACGTCGATCAATCGTACAATTAGCATATCATAACACAATCTAATGGGGTAATTTTGCCATAACAGGCTCATAACATAGCGTTGTCATGGTTGTTTATCTTATGCTTGTTTATTGGCATTGAAAATAGTGAAAATGTCTATATATTTGCCGTGCGATTAGGCGTATTTTGCACATAAACAAACAAGGAAGAATCTTATGGTAACTGCATCATCGAAGGTTCTGTGTAACAATTTTTAAGTAGATTTATACTTTTTATAGTATTTTTTCCTAATTTTATTAAGTGATTGAACCTGACAAGTTGTTCTACTTATTTAATTATATAAAAAATTGTTAATAATTTTTTTAGAGTTGGAGATCCGAGAAACCTACACGGACAGCATAAAATTGAACTCTTACATCGACTTCCCATGATGACTGGAGAGTACGAAATGGAATCTTTCTACAATTCAGGAAACCTGGCAATACCTCATCCCAGAACAATTTATCATCAGAACTGCCAAATCGTGATGTGGTCAGCTCTAAGGTCTATTCATCATCATCGAAGACGAAACAATAAACTTCATCCTGCCCTTGAGTGGAAGGTTTGATACATTTCAAGGTTCATGAGTGTTTACGAGGATGTATGTTTGAAGAACAAAGCCAACGTGGCTTTGTATGTGAGTTTGTTTAAGAACAAAGATTTCAGTGAAGACTTTGATAAGTCGATTGACTTGGTACAAAAGTATTTAGTGAAGTACAGAAGTGCTAAAATTCAAGTGATACCGGTTGTCGACGTTGAGTTCGCCCGGGCTTACGCTCTGCAATTGGGCGTCGATAAATGTGTAAATGATTGCCTGTTGTTGTTCATAGATGTAGATATGATTTTTAACACACGTGCCTTGTGGAACGTTAGGATGAACACTATAAAAAACAAACAGTACTATTTCCCCATAGTTTTCAGTGAATACAATCCTCTAATCGTGTACGATCCCGATTACGCAACCGAGAACTCCCAAACGATTCCTAGAGACTACTTTTGTGTCACCGAACAGGCGGGTTATTTCAGACAATTCGGTTACGGTATAGTAAGTCTATACAAAGTGATTTACTTACCATAAGTGGCCTAAATTCCAACATTAAAGGTTGGGGTTTGGAGGACGTTCAGATGTTCGACAAGTGTGTTTCCTCGAATTTGAGCATCTTTCGAGTGCCGATTCGAATTTCGTGCATGCCTATCATACTGTTCTTGTGATAATAGTTTAGATTTAGTGCAGTATAAAATGTGCCAGGGTACCAAAAGTAATACTTATGCGAATTATGAACAATTAGTCATGTATATTAGGAGGCATCCCAATGTTATTAAGTTTGATCGTAATAAATCGGATAGTTGATCCCGATGCAAAGATTGAGATGTGTTTTAATATGTAGAAATTAGAAACCCGATAGCAATCCTTCATTCATTCATTGTTTTGCATTAAATTAGAAACTAGTGGTGTATGGCATCGTGCCTTAAGGCAAATAGCTGGAACTTCCCGCACCGTAATGAAATATTCGAGAAATTTTGAACGTTTTCATATATATTATTACAAATACTGTAATTGTTTCATTATTTTTGCTATCTTGTTATATCTGAACAAATCAAATGTAAATCATAAATCAATTTACCTCCAGAACATTAACAATAATCGTCATTTCATTTCGAATTCAATTTCAAAAAAAAAAGTTACACAAAATTGAAAAAGTGCTCGCTTATAGTCACAGTCTAAACGCATTTGCGAATAATTCTGTGCGACATTTTCACTTATACTGTGCTTAGCTTGGCGGCATTTTCACAATTTTCAATAGTTTTCACAAAATTGGAAAAGTGCTCCAGTACATAACCAGTCTAAACGCACTTGTGTATACATTTGTACCAGAGTAGCTAGGACTGCTTAGACTGTGCTTAGCCTGGGTAATTTTCTGAATTTTTAATCCAAAATTACAAAAATATTTTTTGAAAAAAAAAATTAGAAACATTTTTTTTCCAAAAGCAATTATTTTGTTGAAACAAGCAGAACGTTTCTTGAATCATTCAATTCGGATGCTTAGTTCTCCCAAAAACTGCCACTTTTGCACAATTAGCTCAGTATGTCCGAAATTGCTGGACCTGCCTTTGCCAAAAACTAATCAGCACATCTATATTTCTCACTTTCCGTAAAGTAAGTTATAGTAATCGCAAAAAATCGAAAATGAAAATTTTTTATATATCTTTACGTTTTCAGAGGTTTCTGAACATTTTGGCATACCTTAGAAAAAATGGACGGATACAAATTTTCGGCAATTTGCCAACACGGATTAACCGATTTAAATAATTCAATCGATTTTGTTAGAAAACTTTTAGAACTTTTCGAGGACCTTGGATTTATTCTGAGAGTCCTGGATTTTTGTTAAAGTATCCCAAATTTTTATTCAGAATTCCCAGATTTTTGTTAAGAAATCTTGGATTTT